TTGTTTCAGTTAATGAAATGGACACTGGGACAAAGGGATGAATAACAAGCGTAACTGTTTTTTTAATTTGGCACCAGTATGTGTCTGTGAGTCAGCATGAAAGTTAAAGCCTTACTTAACATTCAACAGTTCAAGCAGCCACATAAAACAACCTGATGTGACCTATACAAGAATACCAAAATAAGTAACGGAGAAACTCGTCCTAGAGTAGAGGTCAAAGGTCAGAAATTATACTTACAGCTCTGAGGTGAAAATGCATCCAATTACATTTTTACAGGCACAGAAAATAGCGCTGACAAAGCACGATATTATGACTGCAACGAGAAAAAGAAACCAGAATAAAATGCATTACACTCTTTTAAAATCATTCAGTTTTAATATTGAAGGAAAAAATGATGTCAAGAACACAGAAAGCACTTTAAATACAGCAGCCGGGTTTATTAGATTATATTTTTATTGATTTACTCTGATGGGTCAAGAGGACACAGGCAGCTAGTGGATTTAAACTCATGACCTTTTTGCTGTAAAGTGCCTTCCTGCATGGTTTATAGCTCGGTACAGCTTCCTCCCACAGTCCAAAGACATCCATGTTAGGTTAGCTAATGATGGGATAAGCTCCCATCAACAATATGGAATTGGATAAGCTGTTAAGGAGGTGGCAGGACGGATGGATTTATATTTTATTACATTTATGCTTCATATGCTTATTTAACAATATTTTATTCAAAATTTTCTATTCATGAGGCTCAATATGAAATGAAACTAGAGCTGCTACTGCTCAGTTATCAGTATTTTTAGTGCTTTGCATTTGTGTAACACAGACAATACGTTGGTTCTTACATGCACAGATGATGGGGACTTTGCTTGACAGCTTGGCCTGCTCGATGTTTCCTGCACCAAGTGCATTCCCAACCCGTACGCTGGCAGCACTAGCAAACCCTAGTGGAAACTATGGAAAAAAATCCATGTGTAATTCCAAAATGTAACACCAAGTCAACATGCAAGCAGAACTGAGTGGAGTTACCATGTATGCTAGAACGGACAGCTCGTAAGTTATTGACTGAGCTCCCAACTCGGCCTCACTGATCACACCGGCCAGGAATCCTCCCACTTCAAACATCCACCACTCAAGACAGAGCATGAGCATGCTGGGGACAGCCAGCTGGACAAAGGGTCCCCACTCCTGGAGACAGTCGAGGGACCAACCTGTGGGTCCGAGTGACTCTATATGTCATCTTTCAAACTATTGGTTTAAATTATAATTTTATGATAGGCCTAGGATCAACAATTACCAATGAAGGAAGTTTTAACTATTACAGATATGTCTTAAAGTTTATTGAAACCCTCCTGTTAAAGAATAATAACTGTCACCTACGTAACCGTTCCTCCACACTGCATTACACAGTTATAGAGTATAACTAATTTTATCAAACATTAAGCTCTGGAGTAATTAGAATAGACAACTTCAGGTATGAAAGGCCAAAAGCTGAATGATGCAAATTGATGAAATTACTGGACAGAATGTGAAATAAGACGAACGACACAGCAAAATAAAAACATTTATAAAAACACAAGATTCCCTGTAGAAGTAAAATGACTGACCTGCCCATGTAGCCTTATGCAGACCTCTCATGTACATGTAAATGAATAAGACTGCTGCCAGCAAATAATGGGAGATGGCATTGGCTGCTGCTGATCCACTTGAAGACAAAAACACCGTAAAAAATAAACATTTAATGCCACATATTTAAAGTGACAATCAAATGAAACGCTATCAACACAGCTACCCAAACTAAAATTAGAAGGTAATGTAAGTTTTATTTGACTTTTTAGTCATTTAATCTATTGTGCAATCTGTGTTCAATTCACCTAAATTCACTGAATCATTAAATAATTTAAAACACATTAGTTTTCTTTGACTGAATTGAGAGTTACATCCAACCAATGATGTCACAGGAATGATGGAGGAAAACTTACGCAACACCCAAATCCAGCTGATGGATGAGAACGTAGTTGATTATTGCATTAAAGACATTTCCGATTGCTCCAGTTATAACTTGAGGCCATATAATTCCCTGTACACCAAAGCACAAAATACACATAACATTCATGTTCATGTTTTAAATTAAGGTAATGTTGGGCCATATGCATGCTTCAAAAGCACTGCACCTGATTTTGAAGATACCTCCCCTGCAGCTGGTACATGAAAGCAGCCTGAAGAAAGCAAACATTAAATGATAAGAGACTCATTGACAGAAGTGAAGAACAAATTTGAGCACATGATCGGATCTTAGGTTAATCAGCACGCTAACACTTTGTACTGAACACAATAAACAGCCAAGGCTGAGAAACATGTCAAATGACAATAAGAAGTTACAGTTACTACAGATTCATTGTATTTATATGCCTCCATTGAATGTCATTAACCCTTGTCTACACTGTCCCAGAGTTTGTGGGATTGCTGTCTGATTTTCTACAATATAAGTGCCTTAATGTGACTGTTGTGAATTGGAGCTGCTTAAAAACTGAACTGAGCTAAGAGTTTGGACAGTTAGCTAAGGTCCTTTGAATCTAGGCAAGGCTTGTATGTTGTCCCTGTGCCTGTGGGTCCTTTTTGGGAATTCCAGCTTCCTCCCACAGTCCAGAGACATGCATGTTAGGATAACTGGTGATTTTTAAATTGGCTGGAGATATAAATATGTTCGTGAATGGTTCGTGTCTCTTCATTAGAATAGAATAGAATAGAATTCAACTTTATTGTCATTGCACATGCACAGGTACAGGGCAACGAAATGCAGTTTGCATCCATCCAGAAGTGCTTTAGCCATGATATAGATATATTAGCAATATATATTAGCAATAATATAGATTAGCCCTGCTATACACTGTGCAGGTTGTACCCTGCCTCTAGACCTGTGACAGCTGGGATAGGTTCCAGTGCTCCTGCAACCCTGATTTGAACAAGTGGAAGAAAATTTACGGATGGCTTGAACTGAATCCTCTGGGAATAATGAGTGTTTGACGTTAATATATTGTAATAACAACCTAAAACGTTAAGCTGCTTCTGGAGAAAAAGTCGTCATCAACCAAGATCAGCAGGCGTCAAACATGAAAGACGGCACAAACCTAACCATGTGTAAATCTATTAAACTGTTAAGAACTTTGGATCTGGAACAGAGATCTAACAGATCTTTTAGCCGTGCTGAAATTGGTTATTTAACACCTTTCAAAACTCTGTCAAATCAAACTCACCGGCAGAGCGGGCATGAAGATCTTCACGTAGAGCTGGGAAAGGCTTCATGTGGAAATGAAAAGACAAAGTTGATGGTGACTGCACATAAATTATGGGCACATTGCATTTTGCTTGTTCTTTTACTTCATTCTGCACATTACTGTTTCCTACATTAGTAAACAACAGTGACTTCATTGTGTTGTGCTGTAAAATAAACCCTGTGTGACCAATGATGATGCTTCATTTTTGAACTTATCAGATCCAACTAATCCCAAATAGTTTAGACAAACTGAAAATGCATCTCAGGTCTCGGGATGTCAGTTACGCTTTTTGCAACTTTACCCAAAAGTCGAGACATGTCATTGGCACGTTAACATAGCATGTAGTCTGAGACGCTGCTGGGCTGTAAACCAGTACACAAATCTAACCAGTTACTCCTCACAGGTCAGTAATGATGAACCCTAAACTCACTTGCATAGAAAGCTGAGTGACTTTAACAGCTGACATGCAAATTGCTGTTTTCCTGAGTTGTTTAATTTTAAAGCCCTGCAAGTACAAAGTTAAATATTTCCATAATCTGCGTGAAGAGGTCATAATTTGTTCTCCTGAATTAAAAATTCATGCCTTTGCATTACTGAATTCACATATGCTTGTTATGTTTAGAAAAAAGTCAGTGAACAGTAAACAGTAAGAACCAGCACACTGACAGTTCAGATGAAAAACAGAACAACGGTGGTGAAGAAAGTGGAGGATTTAGCAGTTAAACTGACATTTCTAGTCTATGATACTTCAACAAATGAACAAAACTGGTTTAAAAATATTTTTACACAGCTGGTATTCTTGGTTTTCTTTTTGGCTTTAGCCAAAATCTTTCTGTTCAGAAAAACGTCTAAATTTTCCAGTGCTCAGTTAACTGTTCACTGCCACTGCAGGTGTAATG